AAAAAAAAAAAAAAAGAATGGCCCTTGATTCTCTATTGAAAGGTACCTGGTAACTTTGTAAGCCTCACCTCCAGGGCTTTGAAAGCACCACAGGCAAACCAAGTCCAACTCTTCCTCCTTCCAACACCCTTTCCTCCAAAGTAAGCCAGGCTTTATCTCACTGGCACCTCAACACCTTTCTCTCCTATGTTGGGATCTACTGATCTAGCATCAACTACCAGGAGTCCTTAAATTTTAAGGTACCCAAGAATTCATCCAGCTAATATATCTGAATGCCCTGTATCTGCCAGGATGTGTCTGGGTGCTTGGAGTACATGAGTGAACAGAGCAAAGACTTGAACCTTGTAAAAAGCTTATTCTAATGAAGGACACATCAATGGAAAAAGACAGTAAATAGTAAATCATTTAGAATGTTAGAAGAAAGTAAGTGCTATGGAAAACAGAAAAAGGTAAAACAAAGCAAGGTGAACTGGGCTGGATTACAGCAAAGTACAACTGAATCAGCTTCCCAAAGCAATGGATACAGCGCAGTACAGGCGAGCTAAGCCCTAAGAACCTGCACCTCAGCAGTCACTCTATTGCAAAGCCACGCTGTGGGGGGGGTCTCAATCGTTTCAGCAAACAAACAGCTTACAATAACTGCTGGCACGTTGTGTTGCTTTTGTTTGGTTTTGTGCTAAAGAATGTATGTGCAGTTCTAGGTATGCAAACAGTTAAGGAACATTAAATTAATTTTATTAATTTACTGGAGTTCTTTTCTTCTTAATTTAAATTTTAATAAATCATTTTATTGGGAGCTCTTATAACAATCCATACATAAATTGTATCAAGCACATTTGTACTTATGTTGCCATCACCATTTCCAAATAATTTCCTACTTGAGCCCTTGGTTGTCAGCTCCGCTCTTTTCCCCTCCCTCCGCCAACCCCCCCACCTTGAAAATTTACAAATTATTTTAATTTTCATATTTTACACCGTCCACTGTCTCCCATCACCGTTTCTATTGTTCACCCCCATGTGTGTGTATTGGGGGGGGGGTTGTACATCCATCATTGCGATTAGTTCCCTTTCTCTCCCCACCTTCCCTCTACCCTCATAGTATCACTACTCTCATTACTAGTCCTTGTGGGGTTTGTCTGTCCTGGATTCTGTGTGTCCAGAGCTCATACCTGTACCAGTGTACATGCTCTGGTCTAGCCAGATTGGGGGTCATGAGAGTGGGGGGAAGAAGCCTTAAAGAACTAAAGGAATGTTGCGTGTTTCTTCTGTGCTATACTGCACCCTGGCTGGCTTGTCCCTTCCTTGTGATCCTTCTGTGAGGGGATGTCCAATTGTCTAAAGATGGGCTTTGGGTCTCCATTCAGAACCCCCTCAATCACATTGAAATGGTTGTTTGTTTTGGGTCTTCTGATGCCTGATACCTGATCTCATGGACACCTCGTGATCACACAGGATGGTGTGCCTCCCTCATGTGGGCTGTCCTGCTTCCCTGCTAGATGGCCACTTGTTTACCTTCAAGCCTTTAAGATCCCAGACTCTATTAATAGCGGGGCACCATCAGCTTTCTTCATATTAGCTTACGCATCCATTTTGTCTTCAGCGATCTTTGTCGGAAATGTGAGAAGCACAGAATGCCAGGTTATTAGAACAGTGTTCTTGTGTTGAAAGAGGACTTGAGTAGAGGCCCAATGTCCATCTGCTACCTTAATACTTAACCTATAAATATATGTAGGTAGACCTATATCCCTATTGTTATATATTAACATATTTACAAATGTACATGCCTATGTTTATTCTTCCATAATGTATTTTGCCTCCTAGTTCTTGCCTCTGTTTCCTATTACTTTCCTCCTGTCCCACTATCATGTTCGACTTTTATTTGGCTCTCTGTACTTGCACTTAATCTCACCCCACCAGGCTTTCTATGCAGAACTCTTGTTCCCTTATCCCTGGGTTTATTGTTGTCGTCACCCCCACCCCCCATATTCCTCTTTTCTTAAGGGGGAAAAAAGAAAGAATATCTCCAAGGAAGTTTGTTAAGAAAGCAAAGTGCAACTTCCTGGAAGATGGTACCCATGTAGAATCATCTGCTAAGTTCTGATATCAAGTTTTGGACACTCACATAACTGTGCTTCATGGTGTAGTTCCTTGTTAAAAAATGGTCACCAATATGCTTATCTTTCCTTTTCATTTTAACAGAAACAGTAACTTAAGTTCTTCAATGTGTTCTTTTGTACTCTACATGAATCACCTCAAATTTGCCAATCTGAAATAAAACTCAATGTATTTTCTCTCAAAAAAAGGGAAAGCAACATGCAGGGGGCGGATAAAAATAAAGCAAAGGCAGAATGAGGTTTATAGTAAACTACAGTGGATGTGTGTGATTTGAGGGAATAGAAAACATTAAGAACAGATATTTGTCTTTTCACACTGTGATACCACAAGGACAGAGAGGAAATTAATAAAAGGTAGTTAACTAGTAGGACATGAGGGTATACACGTGGGTGGGTATGAGACTGGACCATGGGAATGCATGGCTTTTTCAAAGCTAAGTTAAATGTTTTCAGAAGATTATGTATTACTAAACTTACTCCATTTTTTTGGTAGGGAGGGAGAAGTGGTTTGGCACAGCCTTGGACTGATAATGGTGATTCCTTCTCCTTTCCCTTGTCCGTTCCTGTCAAATGGAATGAGGATTAACTGGCCTTGCTCTCAGCTACAGTTAGGCCTAGTTCACAGATGTAGCACCTCGCTTGAACCCAAACTCTCTAT